ACTAGCTGTGGTGGATTTACTTTGGGGGCTGCCAGATGCTCACTCCGTCACTCTCTCACCTTCCTCAACTAGACAGCGGAGAAAGTAAGATGGAAAAGCTCATGGATCGAGATATAGGCTGGGAGGTCACTCACCAATTACTGTCATGGGTAAAATAAGACTTGACTTAGGGAAAATTAATTTGATTTAGAGCAATTAAAAATACAGTGCAATAATGAGGAAACAAAGACAAAACCTAAAAAAAAAAAAAAAAATCTTCCTCCTGGCTTTGTTGGGGGGGTTACAGACAGTCTTTGTCTCTGCTATTCCTTCCTCACATCTCATCCCCTGCTCCAGCGTGGGATCACTCCCCGAGGACAGTCCTTCACAAACTGCTGCAACACGGGTCCATTCCATGGGCTGCAGTTCCTGCCAGGATACATCTGCTCCTGCGTGGGCTCCTCTCCATGGGCCACAGATCCTGCCAGAAGCCTGCTCCTGCATGGGCTCTCCATGGGCCACCATTTCCTTCGGGGCATAATCCCTGGGCTGCAGCATGGATATTGGCTCCTGTAGCTGAGGTATCTGAAGATACCTGAAGGGGGCTTACAGGAAAGCTGGGGAGGGAATATTCACAAGGGTGTGTAGCGACAGGGCAAGGGACAATGGTTTTAAACTAGGTTTTAATGGTTTTAAACAGGGTAGACTTACCTTAGATGTTAGAAAAAAGGTCTTTACAATGAGGTGGTGAAACACTGGAACAGGTTGCCAAGAGAGGTGGCGGAGGCCCCACCCCTAGAGGCATTCAAGGTCAGGCTTGCTGGGGCTCTGAGCAACTTGATCTAGTTAAAGATGTCCCTGCTCACTGCAAGAGGGTTGGACTAGATGACCTTTAAAGGTCCCTTCCTCCATGGCCTCTTCCATGGGCTGCAGGGGAATCACTGCTCTGGTGCCTGGAGCACTCGTCCCCCCCTTCTTCTCTCACTTTGGTGTCTGTAGGGTTGCATTTCACAATTTTTCTCTCAGAAGTCTCTCTCAACTGCTGCACAGTGGTTTTGCCCTTTCTTAAACACACTTTCACAGAAGGGCCATCAGCCTGGCTGAGGGGCTCAGTCATGCCCCTTGGTCTGCTGGAGCCAGCCAGTGCCTGGCACACGCTGTCACCCACTGCCAGCATCCAGGCATGGACAGTCCATAGAACAAGCACGATGTGCTTATAAGGAGATGAAAAGACAGTCTGCTTAGCTACTGGTGGGGTTTTTTCTCCTTAATTGCAATCTTGGAAATCTTTCACATTCTTAAGCTGCTCAACATGATCAGCACTTGGCAAATGAAAGCGCTATCACTTCTCAAATCTAAGGCTTTCAAGGATGGTTTCTTAGCAAAATGTTAAGACAGTCTTTACATAAACTGTGAGCGATGTCAAGAATCACCTCGGAAAGCAATGTGATTTTAGCTTACACAGGCTAATGAGCAGAGAACAAATATGACAGCTAGCTGCCCTTTCTCTAACTGGCAATGCAAGTCAGGCTTCGCAGGACTTTCCTCACCACTGCTATCCCTTTTAATTTTTTTCAACTGAGCCACATTGATAAAAAGTTTAATCTTTCACTATGTGCCTTTGCATATTTCATTGACTCAGGACGCTACAGCAAACAAATTCAAGCTTTCAATTAGATTTATTTGAACATGTTGGAGTTGTTCAGAGTTGTGAAATCACAAAGGTGAAGAAAGCATTTAAAAAACCCATCCCAAATAAGTCAATGATACTCTAGATTTCCCACTTCCTTTCTGTGTTAAGGAGATATATTTAGAAGAAGCACTTTAAGTTGAAAACAGACTAAAATCAGACACACTGCTCACTTCTTTAAACGCACTTGCAATTAACTTTTATGAAATCCATGACACAAAAAAAGACAGGAGATTCCTGGAGGTCTGCAGAAATCTAAAAGTCTTAGAAATGTCTGTTTCTGTGGAGGCTGGCAGGCCCATGTTGACAGTCAAAGCCTTGCTGTTCGGTAAATGTATAAATCTCTTGAAGTACTTTAGTACTATGTAACCACTACAGAAAATCCAATATTGTATTTTAAATGAATAACCTTGCTTTCTGTATAATCAGTTTCTTTATCAACAAGAATAATAACAAAAATGGAAATACTTTCTGCTATTAAAAAAATAAATCTATATTCCAAGAGAGTTACAAAAACAAGTATTCAATAGTTCAGAAGTGGCAGTCAAGACTATTCACACAATAACAGTTTGATTAATTTCCCCATAATATTTGTTTAAGAGACAATAAATTTCTTTCTCGTGCTCTCTGAATCCCTTTAACTCCAAGAATATGAGAAGGAAGGAAAGGAGATATATAGAGGTTTATACATTGGGGAAATTAGCTTGCTTTCAAAATTTGACCAGGTTTGTTCTCAACTACTATATTATTTTAGAACAGATATAGAATAGAGTAGAAAGCACTGATAATCTGGCTTAACACCAAGACATATCTGTAGCGAGCAAGGCTCATGACAGTCTGGCAGTCTTCAAAGCAAAGCCACAGACATAGGACCAGTAAAAGAAACTTGGCTTATATTTGCAGGTCTGAAGCACAAAATAATGGAAACACATGACAGAAAATTTATTTCAACTTCAAAATGTCAGTCTCACTTACATATATTTATTTGAATTAGGATGCTAGCTATTGGCAATGACTGTAGTGTTAACACACCATGTACAAAACTGCTGAGGTACTAGTTTAGGGGTGAGGAATATTCATGGTAACAGAAGACACATTAGAACAGTAAAATAACTTTCCTTAAAAAGCAAATAAAATGTCTTTAACAGGGTGATTTTTTCAAAACTATTTTGAAGTTTAAACAGGTGGAAGAAATTTTGATAAATTTTTATCGTGCTATGGCAAGAATCCTAATTTTATTTCATGTTATGTATGTATAAAACATTAAAGGGAAATTATGTCCTATATGTTTTTTGATGCTAATTACCCTTAAAAGTTACTAACTGTTACAGCCAGAAGGCATTTCCACAACTCCCTAGAGGCTACCACTGTTTTGTACAAGTTAAGGCATCATGCTGTTCACCAACTTACAATAGACTGTGCCCAGGGCAGGGCAGTGCCTTCAGATTCGGTGACTACATTCTAAATTTGTATTGCTCCAACCCCAGTTGTATCCTCCAAACTTTAAAAAGGTAACCAGCACTACTATACTTATTGCAACCACAAGGTCAGAGATAACTGATCTGAAAGTCACTTCTGAAAATCAACAAGTTGATTTTGAAATTATGTTATGTCATTTTCTACACTGCGTAAGGCAAAGGCTGAGTAGCTATATATATGCACACACAAAAAAGTCTATAAGGACAATCACCCAAATCATCTATTGCCTTCTAACAAAACACTTCATGTTATCTCAAATGCCATCCAGCAAAATATGCAGTTTATTACTTATGAATCATAGAATGATGGGGGTTGGAAGGGATCACTAGAGATTATCTAGTCCAATCCCCCTGCCAGAGCAGGATCTCCTAGGGCAGCCACACAGGAACGCATCCAGGTGGGTTTTGAAAGTCTCCAGGGAAGGAGACTCCACAACCTCCCTGGGCAGCCTGTGCCAGTGCTCTGTCACCCTCACAGTAAAGAAGTTTCTCCTCGTGTTGAGATGGAACTTCCTATGTTCTAACTTAAACCCATTATTCCTTGTTCTATTACTGGGCACCATCTCCTTCCCCTTGACACCCACCCCTCAGATATACGTATATGTTAATATACAGCCGTCTCCTTTCAAGGCTAAACATCCCCAGTTCTCTCAGTCTCTCTTCATAGGAGAGATGTTCAAGTCCCTTAATCATCCTCATAGCTCTCTGTTGGCCTCTCTCCAGTAGGTCTCTGTTGAACTGGGCATTTAAACATTAAGATGAACACAGCGAAACCAACCACAGATCACGGCTAAATTATGGTTAGTATCGTTGTGGCTTAAATGATGTCTTAGCATCAGCTTTTCTCAGCTAGCACAGTCCGTCAGTATACAAACATGCTTAGATAATAGTAGGTCAGTACACAAGGATGCTTAGAATAGAACTGATAGGAAAAATATCAACTGTAGAGAAATAAATATTTTGAATGAGGAAAAGAAAGTGAAAACTTAAAATATCTTTTTTTAGACTAAGGAAAAAGCTTCCATAATGTAAAATAAACTCTCTACAAGAATCAGTATGATAGCTAGGCTTATTTATTTTTGTAAGAAGTTTGTTTTCTTTTGTTCCCAGGTTCAGTGAAGCACTTCCTTACATACAAATTATTTGGTAATGGACTCAGATCTATTCTGTCTGGAACATTAAAGCGACATGTTAAATATTTACACCTACTCCTTTTTACAAATATAGGAAGGGAAACTGTGTCCTACAGTTTAAACATGAATCCCACATCACACACTTAAATAATTAGTAGCTGTGGCTTTCACTGCACAAGATGTGGGGAGCAGGTTAGAAGTCTGACTGAAGAGACAATAGAACAGCTATTTTGATTTTCCTGTTTAAGGCATCATAAAAGCAATGAACATTTAAATTACTCATAACTTTTCTTTGGCTAGCATTTTGATCTTTGAAAAATATTTGTACAGAAAGTAATAAAGGCAGATACCACCCTACATTACTGGTGGATTACTTGCAAACACTCGGTTTATAATCCTGAAAGAGTAGGGGCACAATCCACTAAGGTTCACAAGCTGGAAATCAGATTAGGTTTCATACAAAGGTTATATGGGAGTGGGGCAGTGTAGTAGTAAATCTAAATGGGAGAAACTAAAAATTTTAATGAGCCCATGGCTTAAGATATTTCAGATGTATTGCCGTTCTGATCACTTTGAATTTCAAGTCACATTTTGAAAGACAACCAGTGTAATCACAGACTTTGGAATAACATTTCAGCTATCTCACCAATACTTTTATAAGGAGTTTGAAGAAAAGAAAAACACACATAAAACAGTATTTTAAAATATTACTAAGCATACCTGTGTTCGCAGAATTTCCCCTTTTGACAGCTGCATATCACCAGTCAGCTCTTTCACAGTAATGCCCAGTGGTTCCAGACGCTTGCTGAAGTAATTTGTCATTTCAGCTGCCAAAGCCTTCATAGGAGCAACGTACACAATCTGCACCAAAAGGACACTCGCTTGATAAATGAGCAAACCCCACAACATCGTTTGTTTCATGGCAACCATTACAAATCACAATTTATTGTGAAATATTATGCCAGACGCTTACCGAGAAAAATCTTAATAGTGATATATGAAAACTAGTTATCTCTGTTGGGTAAGTGTGCAGCTGTTTAAAGGACAATGGATTTTGTTTATACAGCCTCATCACTTTGAAAATTGGTTCTGCATCAAAGCTAAATGTGTTTTCATAGCTTTTTATTCGCAGAAGATTTTTAGAACAAAAATAAGAATAGCCATAAAAATAATGAACTAAATCAAAAACAGCTTTATCTTTGACTTGGAAAAGTGTAATACCCTTGAAAACTTCCTGATTTCATACTCCGTGTGTAACATACAATGGGTTTTACCTTACAATTTAAAAAGCTGTTATCTGGTTCATTAAATTCCTACCTTAAACTCATCCTTTTTGATAACACCATGCTGGACATGCTGGCGAATTTCATGAAGGACTGTCAGCATGGCAATGTTAGTCTTCCCAGCTCCAGTGGGGGCACAGATCAGCATGTTCTCATTTGTGTTGTACGCAGTCTCAAAAACTATAGATTGGATTCGGTTTAGTCGTTTCATGCCTTTAAAAGCAAGTTGTCCAATCTGTCAAAACAGACAACACGCACATTTTGGAATTTTCATATACACATGCGTGTGAATACACATACGTTAATTGTAAGAAAGAGAACGTAAAGTAACAAAACTTATGACATCTGTCGACCTGTATTTATTATTCCCAAGTTTTTATTCTGAGGCTACCACTCCCACTCAATCCTCATATATTGAATCCATACAGAAAACAAAATATGGCACAATAACATCTGTTAAAATTAATTAAAATATTTAACCACATGCTATTTCAGCATTTGTTTTTAATCGAGAGTGTAAAGTAACAGTCTACTAATAATTAACTAATAATTAAACATCAGTAAACCAGCAACAGTCAGATTAGAAAAATATCTATCTTTAAGATGACAAACAACAACTGCTGTAGTGGAAGAGGCAACAACACACAGCAACCTCCTGGAGAAACAGATAATTTAAAAAATAATTTATGATTAATTTTGCACAATAAAGTTTAATTATGCAAACACACACACAAATTCCGTAACAACCTGTTTTTTGTTTCTGAGGAGATATCCATCTTGTAACTGTTAATGTTCAGACCCTTCAACAATACTCAGAACATACTGGGTCCTCCAAAAGACACACACAACTTGTATGTGTAGTCCCAAATAAACTTTGAGAATATTTTCAGAAATTAAATTATATATTTAATACAGGAAATGCCTGTTTAATGCATGTTTGAATCTTATAAAGTACAAATCATCAATTATTTAAAAAACTTTGTTCCTCTTGGTCTCTCTAAAAAAAGAAATTTTCCCCCAAAATGAACTTCTGTAGGCAGTTACAAATTTTACATTTCCAGACCGTAAAACCTGTGCAACTGAAGAACAGGCCCTCAAGTTACAGAATTTTCTAACAGACTTTCTTTTTACAAGGTACTTTTCACAGATACCTCAAAGAGACTACAGGACACGGAATTATTCTGTTTCTACAAACTGAATTACCTGCACTGCTTCTGCTAATTATCATTAAAAGCATCTTAAGTGAAATTTTTGACAATCATAGTTTTTATTTTAATTATAGGAAGCCACAAAAGTACAAATTCACTGTAAAGGACAGTACTGAAAGCACCTTCTGAAGACCTCCCTTTCCATTATTCTGGGTGCTTTAGTTAATTTACAGTCATTTGCTATGGTAATAGCCTCTGCAATACGAGTAATATTCTTTCCAATTCTTTCCAATATTAAGTAAATTATTCGAGCAAGACTCAATTCATTACTACCTCAAGCACCACAAGGTTATGAATGAGGGCTTCATTGCCCATTCAAACCAACTATTTCATTTAACTTTGTGACAAACACTACTCAGCCTGTCATTTTGCTGCAGCTTCTTGGCAGTAACCTCATGTGAGAGGCTGAGATGTAAATTATAAATTTAGGTTAATACACCATTTTCACAATACATGACAATGCTCTACACCTAAATGTAGAGGAACAACGTACTTAACGGCTGGCCAACTGTGGTTTTATTCTAGAGGACTTTAAATATTTAAAACCAACATTAATGGGTATAAAAATCAATGAAAATGCTATGCAATCAACACCCAATCATTTAGAAAAATGTGCTTTTCAGTTTAGCAGTATCTTTTTCTCAGCAAAGCTTTCAGATTGAAAACTTCTCAAGCAGCATTGAAAAATCAAGTTTCATTCAAATCATGGATTGCATTTGTATTTATAGGATTGACACATCTCAAATATATTCAAATATTTATTCCAAATTGTTAAGTATCTTTGGTGAAGGAAAAGAAATGTTTCTAATGCAAATACGTCTAGTACTTGTCAAGTTTCTTATTTTTTTTAAGTGGCTGAATTTCAGAATTCTAACAGCTTTCACTATGAATATTCTTTCATAGTTTATTCTGCTTGCAAGGTTGCAGGAGGAAAACTTGTTTTGCACCAAGTTTTGTATACATAGTGCTTACTTGGTGTATCATCTTCAAAGTTCATTTCATCTTCATGAATGAGATTATTTACAGTGTTAATGGGTTTCCCTGGAGGCCTGCTGATTACATTAGTGCTATTACGGTTCAATCAGCTATTTTTATGGCCTCCTTACTCATTTTAGGTTCTGAATTTGCCTGATTTTGAGATTTCGTGACAGGTCCTTGAAAATGGCTATATTTTTCCTTTCCCTTCTCCATGCCATTCCATCTAACTACTTTTAAAAGGTATTATAAACCCCATAAAGTTCTCAGTGATAAACTCTTCACGTTGTTTCTAATAAAGGATCTATGGAGAGAAACTCACAAACACAACTGGTGATTACTGAACTAACAAAACACTACAGTGCACAGCATGTATATTACTTAAAGAAGCAGTATTTAGATACAAGCAGAAACATGGCTGTCTAAATGAAGTCTGGTGTAGCTATCTCCAGAAAAGAATGACGAATTTTTCACAGTCACATAGTTGAATGTGTGTGGCTTTACACAAATACTGTTAACGGCCTTCAATAAAGTATGTCTTTTAAGTGTTTTCTTAAATTACTTCCTGTAAGAGTAATTCCAGCTTCTCTTAATCTTTAGATGTGCAAGACATGTTTATCTTCTGCGTTTGGAAGAAATTACATATAGCTCTCAGACATGCAATTGTTACCAAAAAAAAATATTTAGATAAATAAAAATAATTTCCTGTCTCTTTTTCCCAATGGAAAATAGCAACACCATGGATTAAGATCGACTTAGTAAGCAGCAATAAACAAAGAGATGTTCCAGAAATAGAGGAAGCTGTGTAGCAAGTTGGAAAAACGAATCTCAGCTTGTTTTCTGGAAAGATGCTACTAAACAAGGTGTGAAATAAAGATCGATAAAAAATAAAACCCATAAAGGCCTGGTTAAGTAGAAGTTTTGTGTTTGTTTGGTTGGGTTTTTTTTTAAATTAATGGTATTCTGAACCAAATCTAGACTTTCATTCAACATACTTATTCATTTTCAAGCAATTCAAAAGAAAAACGCAGGAAATCAATACAAAACATTCACAATCACAATACACAGTCAATGCACAATATTCTTTGAGAGGTGACACTGCGGGAACATTGCAATGATTAAAAAAAGCCACAAGAGGAAGGAATTCCAGAGAAAAACAACACCTTATGACTTCTTCAAACCAACTCTCAATTTGGTAAATACAACAGCACACAGTAACTACAAGTGCATAATCTAAAACCAGCAGTTCTGTCCTGAAAAATAATGGCAATTGCATCCTTCCTGACAACAGGCCCTGCAAAAGACAGGAAACCAGGCCCTGCAAAAGATCTGACAACAGGCCTGCTCCAAGGACCTGCCAAGGACGGACACTGAGGCCTGATGAGGCCTCAGGACTTGGTCTTTTGTGCGCTGGCTCCTGAGCTAGTTAGAAACTGACCACAGCCAGCCTCGGCTCAGGCATAAATGGGGCCCCACCAGAGAGACAATTTGAGGCGGTCCTCCCCAGAGCAGCGGGGTCTGCAGTCAGGGACTCCCCCTCCCCTTGGATCGGGACCGTCCAAGGAAACTTCCTGGAATTGAGAGGGTCCACCCCTCCCCTCCACTGGTGAGCGAGACATGGATATATCCTTGAGAGAACCCTTGCCCCTCTGAGGGGGAGTGATTTGCTGGGTACCCTTAAGAGAGAGGTTTTCCACTTTTCAGTGAGTGAGCCTCTGCACAATTTTGGTCCTACTTCTAAAGGAATAGTCACGAATTCCTAAACCCAGTTCTGTAGTGATAATTCCCAACCTGCATCTGAATCTGTAATATACTTTGTTGGAGTGTGTAGTGTAAATTTTGGACTTTTTGTTGCTGCCCTGTCTGTTTTTGTGGGTGCTTCTGCGACAAAAATCAGTAACAAAAAAAGGCCATCAGGCAGAAATGCAACAGTATGCACAGAAGTCCACAATTCAACAAATGTACCAGAAGATTTGATTTTTTAATCTGCCCTTTGCACAAACTACCTAGTCTGAAAGGTGAATACGATTTTTTCATCTCTGGCACTTTCATGTCAGTCAAGACTTCTACAGATCAATTCTTTTTCATATACCAGTGAAATGTCCCTTGTTTCTTAAAGTACTGGTAGCCATTGGATTGCAAAATATGTTATTTGCTGAACGAGACGGAACGTTCTTCAGCTTTGTACTCCATAGTTGATTTATCACTAGGATACTACACAAACCAAAAGAAGTTTAAGCAAAATACTATGCGAGTGCTATTCTCAGCAAACAGTTTCAAGCCAAGATGGTGCCGTTGTACATAAGCATGAATCAATGTGAAAGACCACTGAGAAGCAACTCTTTCCACTGAGAAGCAACTCTTTCCAAACACTAGATGATACTCAAGGCAGCTCTGATATGAATGTATAAATAAACCTCTTCATTTTTACTTCAGTAAGCTTTCCAATTCTTTCCCAAGGAATTTCCTATTACAACTACTCTGTTTATGAGTAAATGAGATGACACTTAACAAAGATGTTCTAAATTAGTCATTTCATTATAAAGGTAGTTGTGTGTTGTTGCTCTAACAGCAATTTAAAAACAGGACAAAACTGCCGAAGTCATTAAAGTAATATTGATGAATGAGTCCATAGGATTTCAGTCTGCAGGCAAGCTATAGCTCAGAAACACAATCCCTTTCACAACACAGTAGCAACAGTGTCTGTTTCAAATAGAACTTTTGACAGTTTTAGTTGTGCAATTCATCAGCCAGACCTTCTACAGAGTTTAATAAATAGGATTCAGAAGATACTCACTTTTTTCCCCAATACCTGTGAACCTTGCGGTGTCTGTCTATGATCTACAGCACTCTCCCTCACCCAAAACACAAGGGTGCTAACTACAAGTTCCATTAAAAGCTGAGATGTTCTTTCACTCTCTGTATCATTTTCTGCATTAACACTAGTTGACAGAAACAGCTTGTCAGATGCAGTTAACCTCAGTACCACAAATCTTCATTTGGTGGCCCTCAAGTCAACTTCAAATTACAATGCCAGCATTTCAGTAGCAGC